TTCTATTTTTTGCAGAGATGGGGTCTCACTCTTGCTCAGGTTGATCTCAAACTTCTCACTGCAAGCATTCTTCCTGCTTCTGTTTTCTCTTAGTGGAGTGCCATGGCATCATAGCTCATAGCATCCTCAAACTATTGGGCTTAAGTGGTTCTCTTGCCTCAGTCTTCCGAGTAGCTGGGACTACAGGTGTCTACCACAGGCTTGGCTATTTTTAGAGACAGGGTCTCGCTCTGGCTCAGGCTGGTTTCAAACCTGTGAGCTCAGGCAATCCACTCTCCTTTGCCTCCAAGACTGCTAGAATTTTAGGCATGAGCCACCACACCCGGCAACTTCTCTGATTCTTTCAATCTAATTCTAATTCTTTGTCCTATGTAATTTTTCTGGGCCCTCAATGTTTTGTTTTGTTTTGTTTTTGAGACAGAGTCTCACTATGTCACCCTTGGTAGAATGCGGTGGTGTCACAGCTCACAGCAACCTCCAACTCTTGGGCTTAAGTGATTCTCTTGCCTCAGCCTCCCAAGTAGCTGAGACTACAGGAACTCTTGTTGTTGTCATTTAGCAGGCCTGGGCTGGGTTCAAACTTGCTAGCCTTGGTGTATGTGGCCAGTGCCCTAAACACTGAGCTACCAGTGCCAAGCCAGGCCCTCATGTTTTTTAATTATATATTCATATATATAGTTGTGTGAAAGGCAACAGACAGGATAGGGATAGTTCAGAGCTTGAGTTCTGCCAGCTCTTCCAGTTCCTACCTGTGTGACCTTAAGCAAATGACTCAACCTCTGTACCTCAGTTTTCCCATCTGTAGAAAGGATAGCATCATCTTACAAAGTTGTGGGGACAATCAAAAGGGTCAGCAGAGTTGGGCAGAGAAGCATGAACCTGTAGTCCCAGCTACTCAGGAGGTGGAGGTAAGGAGGCTCACGTGAGCCCAGGACTATGGGGCAGCAGTGAGCAATAACGATGCCACTGTACTTTAACATGGAGGACAGAACAAGACCTTTTCTCTCTCTTTTTTTTTTTTTAAAGTCAACATATGTGAAGTATGTAGTCCTGTGGCAGCCCATGGTAAATATAGGAATATGTCACATGTTGTTTTAATGAGAGATAAGATATGTGATTCAGGGCAGGGATGGAGCAGAGAATCAGAATGCTTGTCTTTTCCTGTAGCCTGGTGGAGTCTCCCTGTACTCTTCCTATGCACTTCCTGTGTACTATGATTTTAGTAGGGCGCTGGCCCACATATACCAAGGGTGGTGGGTTCAAACTCAGCCCTGGCCAAACTGCACCAAAAAATAGCCGGGCATTGTGGCAGGCACCTGTAGTCCCAGCTACTTGGGAGGCTGAAGCAAGACAATCGCCTAAGCCCAAGAGCTGTAGGTTGCTGTGAGCTGTGATGCCACGGCACTCTACCAAGGTCAATGTAGTGAGACTCTGTCTCTAGAAAAAAAAAAAGAAAGAAAGTGCTCTCAGGATTAGGTGGGATGATTAGGTAGGGCATGGCATGCAGGGAATGGTCCCCAACTGTGGGTTTCATGTCTGCCTGTCTCAACCCAGCAGGGCCCTCATGTCATCCTAGCATGCCTGACACTCATTAAATATTTGTTGAATGATAGCTTGAATAAGGACACGCTTGAGTCTACCCTGGCCCTATCCTCCTGTGTCTACCCCTGATGTGATGTGGGCTCTGGGTAAATAGATAGTTTATACCATAGATCAAGTAACTATCCAAACTGAAGAGAAGGGTAAGCTGGGAGAAGATTCAACTGGGCAGGATGTCGGGATCCAGGAGCTGAGCTTTGGGGATGTTCTGGGTGGAGGAGGTAGAAAAGTAATTTTGTGAGTAAGGCTTGTGTTGGGAGTACTTTGTTGTGACTGCAGGGAAGGGTATAGGAGGACGTAGCAGGGACTGAAGAGTTGACGAAAGAGAAGGTTAGGTCAGGGACTCACTGGAGAGATAAAAGCCTGCATAGGAGCCATTAGGGTGGAGAGGTGGGTGTTGAAATCACAGTTCCTGTTTCTGGATGCTGTCTGTTTTGTAGACCCTGAGTCAAGCATTTTACAAGTTGCCTGATTAATCCTCATGACTTTTTTGTGCAGCTGGGACCTCTTGTTTGTCTGTTTTTCAGATGGGGAAACTGAGGCTCAGAGAGGTGAAGTCACATGCTCAAGGCCCCAAAGCTAGAGAGTAGCAGAGCTGGGACTCACTTCAAGGTCTGTGGGACTCTGCCACCTAGCTCTGCTGTTGACCAGCCTTGAATAGCTTTAGATAGGTGTTGCCCCTCTCGTGTTGATTGAGGGCACCACCATACTGAGAGCATAGGAATCAATGATGTGGACCCAGAGGGCTTATCTGGTGCTCAGAATGGAGGGAGCTGGGCCTGAATGGTGTGGGAGGGGCTGGGGGCTGAGACTGGGCCTTGAGTGGAGAGGATGGGGTTCCCCAAGAGCCAGAAAGGGGAAGGGCTTGAGGTTGGGAAGAGGAAGTGGTTGAGGCTGAGAAGTCATCTGGGGGAGCTAGCAACCTGCTTTGAGGCTGACATGGCCTGTGAAAAGTGAAGGGAGCCCATAACATGAGATTTCCCAGAGCCTCAGTTGTCTTCATTTGTCCAATGGGCTAAAGGTAGTCCTTGCCCACTGGGGCTGATTCTGCTGAATCTCCAAGGGTCAAGCATTTCTTAAATCAGAGTGGTTGGCACTGCCATTCTGAGAGCACCCATTGGGCACCATGCATATTACTGTCCTTTTCCTTTCTGTTCGTTACTCTCTTTTTAATCGTCTTTATGGCGGGGATTGTTCCCTGCTTTAGGCAAGAACCTGTGCTCAGAGAGGTCGAGATTTGTCCCTGGTCAATGAATGCTTTGAAGCCGCCTGGGTTAGAATCAAAAGCATGCTCTCCAGGGCATGGGAGATTAAATGATGTCTGCTAAGCACTACCACTGCCTGGCTTTGTGATCTTGGGCAAGTTGCTTCACTTCTTTTGGCCTCCATTTCCTCATCTGTAAATTGGGAGTGATAATAGGGTCTACCTCAGAGAGTTGTTTGTGGATTAAATGAGTTCATATGATTCAATTACTGAATCAGTAGTGCCTGGCAGATAGCCAGCACTCTGTACGTGTCGCCTGCTATCATTTCCAGCTAGTAGCTCATCCTCAGGACAAGCTTGTTGGATATGGATAGAGGTGGTACTGTTACTAGCCCTGTTTCACATAGGGGAATTTAGAAATCCCAGGGTAGTTATATGCCTCAGTTCATGTTTGCAGGGATAGCCTCAGAAATCCCTGTCCTTATGCATAGCTACCTCATTTGGGCAGATTTGAGTAGAGTTGTAGTGAGAGAAACTTAACCCATACTTGTAGTATGTACCTGAAATTCCTGGGGCAGGGTGATCCTGGGCTCCCATGATGGACTCAGGTATCCTTTTCAGTCCCTGACCCTGTATAGGTGTCCTTCTCTCCTCTCTTGGTGGCATAGTGGCCCCTGGAAGCTCTGGGCTTATAGCCTGTCATCTTAGCAGCCTCTGTGGAAAGATAATACTTGATTCCTGAGCCAGCACAGATCCAGTCTGGAGTATCCTGGTGCTGGTCAGGCCCTTGTTCCTCCCTGGTGCCTGCTTGAGAGGGATGGGGATGTGGTTTGCCCCACATGAATTTCATTGTTGTGGGACAGAGTGTGAATCTGTCTGCCTAAAAGCAAGTCCATTAGTTCATTTATTGGTTTTTTTCACAAATACATATTGAGCACCTAGTGTGTGCTGCAGTTCCACAAGTAAACAAAATAGACAAAAGTCCCTTCAGGGAGCTCCCATTGTGGGAAGGGAAGGCAGATGGTGATAGGCAGTAACCCACAGAGTAGGTTAGAAGGTGCTGAGTGCTTTAGGCAACAATGATAGGGTGTAGGGACCTGCAGTGGGAGGGGTGCAGGGTGGGTGGGTGCTGTTGTAAATAGGTTGGTTGCAGGTGGGCCTCCTTGGTAAGGTGGTATTTGAACAAAGACCTGCCAAAAGGCCGGCACTGCAGCTCAGCAGGTAGGGTACTGGCCACATACACGGAGGCTGGCAGTCTGAACCTGGCCCGAGCCTGCTAAAGCACAATGACGACTACTACAACAACAAAAAAGCCAAGGCTTGGCACCTGTGGCTCAAGTGGCTAAGATGCTAGCCACATACACCCGAGCTGGTGGGTTTGAATCCAGCTCGGGCGCGCCAAACAACAATGACGTCTGCAACCAAAAAATAGCCAGGCGTTGTGGCGGGTGCCCGTAGACCCAGCTACTTGGGAGGTAGAGGCAGGAGAATCGCTTGAGCCCAGGAGTTGGAGGTTGCTGTGAGTTGTGATGCTATGGCACTCTGCCCAGGGTGACAGCTTGAGGCTCTGTCTCAAAAAAAAACAAAAAAACCAAGCATGGGCGGCACCTGTGGCTCAAAGGAATAGGGCACTGGCCCCATATACTGAAGGTGGTAGGTTCAAACCTGGCCCCGGCCAAAAACT